TACGACCTACTAAGTAAACATCAACATTTTAATTGATGAACTCAAGTACAATGGATTGTAATTATTGATAATTTTTACAAAATTTGGTTTTTAACGGAAGCAACTTCAAATTATACAAGATGAATTATTTGATGACACCTCGTTTTCTGAACAACCTTGCCCTTGACAAGAGATTAATATTTTTACAGTATGCGGAAGGCAAGCTAAGAGAATTCTGGCATCCACTTCAGAAACAAAGTATTAAATTTAGAATCGCTCAATATTTCTGAAACATATGGAGTACTTTCAAAGGGTTTCAATATAATTTGTGCGGACTTTTATTGACGTCGGAGTTAGAGCACGAATATGTTCAACGTAAGCGGAGAAACATCGAGTTTTTGTAATATACCCAAGGTTGAAAATGTCTTGAACTACAAAGCTGAAATAATACTTGAAATTGCTTGGCATTTCTAAAAAAGATCTACCATTCAAGGAAGAATTGAACGAGTTATTCCGTGGAAATTCCCACCTATTTAAAAATGCAGGGATGCTCGTAGTACCTTTCAGGGGTTAAAAAGAGGTTTTGGAGCCAATAAGGGTGTTCAGCCTCGAAAGGTGCACAGCGGGAGTTTTTGCGGTAGCTTTAAGGGTATCGAGCTGTAGAAAGTTGACTGGAGGTAATGTATTGTTTTTAAATGTATAAAATTGGTACCTCTTAGGCAGTTCTTTTCAAAATTAAATTAAATTAGGGACAGAAGGTCACTGCTAGAGACAGATAATCAGTGCCAGGGACAGATATACATACATACATACTTTATTTGCAACTCCCCAAAGGGGCTTTTCAGTTACAAAACGAATAAAAAAAGATAAAAATACGTCAATTAAAATGAATAAACAAACTGGGAAAGGAGTCTAAAATTAATTACAGTATTAAAGATTTAAAAAAGATATATCAGTGTTAGGGAAAGATGAACATTGTTAGGGACATCATCAGTACTAGGGACAGATGATCGGTGCTAGCAACAGATGATCAATGATGGGACACTGATGATCACTTTTAGGGACAGATGATCACTGTTAGGGACAGATGACCAAAGTTAGGGACAGATAATCAGTGATAGGGACAGATGATCAGTGCTAGGGACAGATGATCAAAATTAGGGACAGATGATCACTGTTAGGGACAAATGATCAGTGCCAGGGACAAATTATCAGTGCTAGAGAACACAGATGATCAGTGCTACAGACAGATGATCAGTACCAGGGACAGATGATCACCGTTAGGGACAGATGATCTGTGCTAGAGACGGATGATCAGTAATAGGGACAGATGATCGCTGTTAAGGACAGATGATCACTGTTAGGGACAGATGATCTGTGCTAGAGACGGATGATCAGTACTAAGGACAGATGATCACTGTTAGGAACAGATGATCAGTTTTAGGGACGGATAATCAGTGCTAGGGACAGAAGATCAGTGCTAGGGACAAATGATCACTGTTAGGGATAGCTGATCTGTGCTAGGGATAGATGATGAGTGCTGGGGACCGATGATCACTGTTAGGGACAGATAATCAGTGTTAGGGACAAATGATCAGTACTAGGGACAGAAGATCAGTGCTAGGGACAGCTGATCAGTGATAGGGACAGGTGATTACTGCTAGGGACAGACAATTAGTGCTAGGGACACACAATCAGTGCTAGGGACAGACGATCGGTGATAGGAACAGATGATCAGTGATAGGGACAGACAATCACTGTTAGGGACAGATGATCTGTGCTAGGGACAGCTGATCAATGATAGGGACAGGTGAATAGTGATAGGGACAGGCAATCAGTGCTAGGGACAGTTGATCAGTGCTAGGGACAGCTGATTAATGATAGGGACAGATGATCCGTGCTACGGAGACACAATTAGTGCTAGGGACAGATGATCAGTACTAGGGACAGATGATCAGTGCTAGGGGTAGCTGATCAGTGATAGGGACAGGTGAATAGTGCTAGGGACAGATGATCAGTGATAGAGACAGACAATCACTGATAGGGACAGGTGAATAGTGCTAGGGACAGATGATAAGTAGTAGGGACAGAAGATCATTGTTAATCACTTCAGTGTAGTCTACATGAAGTATAATACTGTAATGTAGTTTACATGAAGTAGAATACTCGGTGCACCTATGGCATTCACCCGTGAAGTATATACCCAAAAACCGGACTCGACATTGTCAATGACATGCTACCCACTCTAGAGTACGTAGGAAATTTACCCTTTCAGGTGAGGGCTGCATGGGTCAAAGAAAATAAAAATCAAAGTACGCAGCTTCTAGGCTTTTGTCGATTGTGCTTGCAAAACTGGCATATTATGCTCTTAGCACTGCTCAAAATTTTTGGAAATTTGCCCGAATTATGCTTGTTTCTCTAAATTATGCTCCGCGCATCAAAATTATGCTACTTGCTTTTCAAGCAAAATAAAGACAGAACAGGGCGAATAAAGACAAAAGAAAGAATAACATCGCTGGGAACCGCCGTTTTCTACATTTCTAAGCATCCTGGCTTGATTTCATATTAAGGTGACTCAAAACAATAATATTTCCATGAAACGCCTAGATTCTAGCGCGCACTTCAGCACGTGGCATCACGTTATTACTCGAGAGGTCGTGAGATAGCGCGCGAGATTAAAGTTTTTAAAAATCAAAACAAACATGTCAGCGCGACGCCTACTTCGTAAAACTTCGTTTCCACCAAGTTCAGTAAGTTGTTTGCGTTATCAGTTACTTTTTACCTTCGAAAACAGCCAGGCTCTAGGCAATTTCAAAGGAAAAACATTCTTTTAACCATTATACTGGAACGTAAACGAAAATTGGGACTGTTGATGTTGCGATCGATCTCATAAAAACAACAGCGGGAAAAAAAAAAATTCTTTAGGTTTTCTTCGTTCTTTCTACTTGGCCAGTCTCACCTTCGGGATTTTAGGAACTCTTCTTCTACCACTTATACTGCTAACGAAAACAGCGAAAACAAACAAACAAAAAAACCCGCTGTATTCGCGGATCTATTGATCTATTCGCGTAGAATTGCGGGCTTTACTGACCATCTTTACGCGTGCGCAAGGGCCGATCTTGCAAAGTTGAGATTTTAATTTGCGTGTAGAACGCGCGCAAGAAACTCGTTCAACAACAAGGTAATATCTCAAAAGCTGATCCGGTGACCCTTCTTTTTTAACGCAAAAATTTATTCAAAACCAAAACCGGAATGCTGTGCGAAATTGTAAAAAAAAAA